TGGTGCAGCTTGGTCCCTGCTGTCACCTCCGTGGTGCAGCTTGGTTCCTGCTGGGACGCCTGTCTCCTGGGAAGGGCTGAGGGGGCCGTGCCAGCCGCCAGGGTAGCCAAGCGCCTGCACGGTAGCCGGTCGCCGTTGCCTCTGAGTCATCCCGAAGGCATTCCCGAGGGGAGGGGAGCTGCGGGCACGGAAGGCGTGCCGCCCGCCACCAGGATGTGCGGAGGAGCCGGGCGCGCGCGGGGCCGTGGAGGTGGGTGCCGGGCGGGCGCGCGCGGCGCGGTGCGGCGGGTCGCGGTGCTTGCCTGCGGTTTGGGCTCCGGCGAGCGTGTGGGCGCAGCGGCCGGGCGTTGCTGCCGTGCGCGGGCGCTCCTTGCTTTGGGGAACAGCCCTCTCCTTTGGCCTTCCTGGGCCGAACACCGAAGGGAGGGAGGAGATGTGAGGCGCAAGGATGACCTGGAGATGTTCTCCTTCTCCACCTGGGTCATCCGTGCTTGTCCGTGCTGCAGGAACTGCTGCAGGAACGTGGCGGATCAGGGATCAGCCCAGCGGCAGGCAGAGCGTGCCACCGTGCTGCTTTCCTCCTCCTGGCTCCCAAACTTGGGCAATATACTCCACTTCATGGTGCAAAATGAAGCCTGCTCACTTGGCTTCCCTGACTAAGCTTCAAGCTTGCATGCTGCCTTCAAACCGGTTTTGAAGCGGAGGAACAAAAAGCAAACGCGTGGCACACGAAGGGTTTCTTTTCCTTTTTGATGTTGTTTTGTTTTTCATCTCGGCTCCAACAGTTGAAAGCAGGGGAAAAAGCAACGGAGCAGATCAGTCCCCGGCAGGCACGCAGGCAACGCTGCTTCGCTCTCCTCAGGTTGGCTGAAGGCTGCTGCAGACAGCTCGCAAAGCCTCACACAAAGGGAGAACCATGGACCCGTGCCCGTTCCTCCCTATATAAAGACATTTTTGGGTCTCCTCTTTCCCCCATGGTTCCTCTTTTCCTGCTGGAGTGAAGGGTTCTAGATACTTCAGGTCTGCGTGGTCCCAGGGGAGGTGGAAAACGGTGGCTTCGCCAGAGGAAGGGGATTGCAGAAGGCAATCAACGGCTGGCGTTCCTCCAGGGCAGGGAAGGCAGTTGGGCATGGGATGAGCTAGGATCCCCAGGACTTGCACGTGCAATAGGGATCTGAAGGGGGCATGGGATGAGCTAGGATCCCCTGGACTTGCACGTGCAATGGGGATCTGAAGGCGGCATGGGATGAGCTAGGATCCCCAGGACTTGCACGTGCAATGGGGATCTGAAGGCGCTCCCCATGGGAAACACTCTGGTGTGGCCTTGGGTTGATGAGCTTCATGTTAGGAAGTGTCCCGATGGCAAAGGCAGCCTGGATTCCTGCTGCAAGTGCAACGGGAAGGTCCCTGACTTTGACCTTCTTCTCCGTGGTGGCATCATGCGTGGCTAACAGCAGTGCCGTGCTGTTTGGTCCGGGGYAAGGCAGATTTATTGTCATTGTCCAGATTCATTACTGTTATTATTATGCGTCCAGATTTATTGCCATTATCCCGGAATACCATTATCTGGGATGCTCTTGGCACAGGGAGGCGAGGTGTAGGCTTCTGGCCASGGCTGGGAACGTGCTAAAATCACTTGATTTCGGGTTTCCCCCGCTGGCTACGGGCGCGGGTAGGTGCAGACACGAGCCTCAGGTGCTGCAGGCTCCTCGCGCCGCCTCCAACCGCAGAGGAAGACGCGGAAAGAAGTGGCAGAGGAGGAGGAGGAGGGGGAAGAGCCATGTAATTATTCCCGTTTCACGACAGACAAGCAGCTGGCACAGCTTCCTCTCGCGGAGCAATTACGCTCAGCCATGTGTCGGGCTTGACGCTGGGAGAGCGGCTCTAATTGATCCTGGCTTTTCCCTTTGTCGTCGCCCGGCTCCGGGGTTTGCTTTCGGAGCCGGCGGGGAGGGAATCCCGCGGAGCCCGGGGCCAGCTCCGGGCTGCGCTGGCTTGTTTGCCCGCCCGTGCCTGCATCATTTATAGAGCTCACTGCCTCGGCCGTCTGCCTGAGCCCTGTCATTCCTGGGGGGCTCTTTTGGGGGCCCTTGTTTCATTCTGAGTGAAGAAAGTGGTTGTGATGAATGCAAAACAGCAGGTGTTTTGGAAAAAATCTGGCAAAAATCTGGAAAAAAATTGGCAAAATCAGCAGGTGTTTTGGAAACCCCTAAGCCCGACATTCAGCCTGGCTTAGGCTGCTTCCATTAGGGAGGATTGGTGGAGGGGCCGTCATTTGGCTCCCGTCTCCATCGAGAGGYGCGAGACACGGAGCAGCCGGCGCTGCTGGAACTCCTGGGGCTCCACAGGGCGCGAGCCGGGAGCACCCTCTGCTCACYGGCTGCCTTGGCGGGGAAACGCAGAGCACTGCACACGGGCTGCTTCCCTTGGCATAAGAAAAAAAAAAACCAAAAAAATACCCCAAACTGTGTTTTTGTGAGAGCACTGTTTGCAACATTGACCCGCACTGGGGAAATGGGGTGGATAAGTCGGCTGGAGGAGAGTGCTGGAGATGGGAAAGACGGGGAAGAGTGAGTTGGAGGGGTGGCCTGGACACATGAGCGAGTCGCACGGAGGCCGTCGACAACCAAGGGGATTGTACCCTTGCTGGAATGATCCACGGAGGTGGAASTGCTGCCTGCGGAGGTTGCTGCGCGGGGAGAGCTGCCTCCTTCCCGCCGCGTCCCCATGCGCTGCTCCACGGCGCAGCCTCCGGCGCCGCTCTCGGGGTCACCAGCTGCGCCTCCGGTGCTGAGCTCGGCTTTTGCAGGCGGCAGGTGAGTCAACCTCCCCGCGGGCCTCCGCAGCAGATCCGGGCTGGGATTTTAACCCATGCACGAGGCCCTGGAGTAGCTCACGGGCCCGGAGGGGGCTGCGGAGCGGAGGTGCTTTCCCGTCGGCCCTGCTGCAACATCCGACGCGAGGGGCAGGATGTCGGTGGCTCGCCGCGGCGCGGGGCAGGAACTGGGCTGGGGCAGGAGCCGGGAGGAAGCCGGGCAGAGGTGGGGCGGCGCGGACCTTGCACCGCGCGGCGCAGCGACGGCTCGGCGCGCTGCCGGCGCGATGGGGAGGGAAGCGCGGGGCCGTCGGGCGCCGCTGCTCYGCGGGGACGTGCCGGGCACGCGGCGGGAGGAACGCGGCACCAGGGGGGCGCTTTCCTGCGAAACCTCCTTCTCCCGCGGACGCAGGCGAGCCCTCCTTTCTTACCCAGGTGCGCCCGCCCGTGGGTTTCCTCCTTTTGGCTTTTTTCTTATCCGAGCTGCTAAAGGATAAACCTCTGAGCAAGATCGTTGGGGGCTAGCGACGTATTTTACAATGCATTAAGAAAAAAAAAAAGGAAGGAAGGATCTGAGCCCAGGAGGTGCTTGTTTTCCGCATTAATGCTAAGTGAGCYGCAAACCCCAAAGGCTCCCTCTTTCTGCCTCCTGTTTCTTTGCTATTTTCCCTTTATAAATGTGAATTATGCGGTGCACGTGGCGTTCTGCAGGTCGYCCCCAAGAGGGGACCAGCTCGCACGTGGCCGGCTCGCCGCCCGCTGCAAGATTCATGTCTTGGCCGCGCTATGCCCAGCGYGACTCCTCCTATTTTATTTTGCTTTATTTCTCCCTCAGCGCGATATTCCGTGCCTGCCCCGGCTGTTTCTGGAGCCGGGGCGGCCGAGGGCGCCGGGCACGAGTTTCCCCCGGGCTTCTAGCCTTTTCGGTGCCGCTTGGGAGAGCGGCCGCTTTGTCTCCAGGTGGGGCCACACTGCCTCCCGACCTTAGGACCAGAGGGGAAAACAGCCGTGCGCGCCTTTTGTTTGCCTCTCCCGGACGCCTGATTAGGAAACGCCGGATACCTTCCTGCTGGGGGAAGCTACTTTGCTTGCTTTCTTTCTTTTTTCCCCCTCCTTTTCCCCTCCTCTCCCGGCAGTGGGGGAAGTCGTAGGCGTTGCGTTGGAGGCTGCGCGGCTGGGCGCGCTCTTGTTTTCCCACGAGGAAACCAGGCTCTGATGCCCGGACTCAACTTGCCCTTCTGCAACGCGGGACGCTGCGCCCTTCCCCGGGAGCTTTGCTGCGGGGCGGCCCGAGAAGGGGAAGGAGGCAGCGCAGGACCTTGGTAATGAGGTGTAGGATGGGGCTGCATGATGTTGGCTCCGTGGTTTCCTCCTCTGCTCGAGCGCTGTTTGGTGACGGGGGTGGTTGCCGCGTGTCCCGTGCCCCTTGGCTCATCCCTGCTGCTCTCCGCAGGCATGCTCTGAAGATGGAGCCGGGCGGCGCTGAGCTGGAGAGGGCCAGCAGCAGCAGCTCCGCCGAGAGCCTCAGCCCGCCCTTCAGGAGTGTCCGCGGCAGCTTCACGGCCGGCTCCAGCGACAGCCTCGACTCGGACGTGCGGACCGGCAGCGATGGCGGTGAGCAGAGCGCGGGGCCCGAGGAAGTGGCTGCCCACATCCCGAGCAGCCGCGGAGCAGCCCGGCCCGTCTAGCCGCTGCGTCCGCCCCGCTGCTTCTCCGTGTCCTGGAGGTGCCCTCGATGGTGCCCTTGGGCCACGGAGCACTTGAGCAGGTTGCCCACGGAGGCTGGTGCCTCCATGCTCGGAGATGCTGTCTCCAAAGGTGTCTGCGCAGCACCCTGGTCAGCCTGCTGCAGGTGACCCACGGGAGCTGGGCCAGGTGATCTCCAGAGAGATCATAGTCCTTCCAACCTCAACCCTGCTGTGATTCTGCAAGATGAGGGTATCTGTTCAGCCAGCATCACCTTCTCCTTCTCCTTCTTCAACTGGTCCATGTCCAAAGCATTCGTCCTGTCATTTGGATAAAACCTCCATGGGAGAGCACTTGTGCTTCACCTGCATGTGCTTTGACCTGCACATGCTTTGTAGGTTGCAGGTAGCCTTGCTGCAGGAAGGACTCCCCTGATTCGAGGTGTTGCAGATGCAGTCTGGTGCTAGAGGTCATCTCTCCGTCTCACTGCACTCACAGCTGTTTCTTGAAGGGGAAAAAAAACCCTACGTTTGCTCCTTTAGTTGAGATCTAAAAATATTTATTATGAAGTCACCTTTTTCCTAAGTGTGTAACTGAGGCATGCACCAACACGTCCAGCAGCTCAGCAAGCATTTCCTTGGCAAAAGCAGCACCGCGTGGTGGAAGTGCCGTCTCTCCAAGAGCAACAATTATTTGTGGCAATAAAATCAAGAGCAAGAGCTCTGCAAACTCRTTTTCTTTTCCACTGCTAGGTGGGAATTTTCAGGTGAGACGGTGCCAGAAAGTTGTGTGGGGCAGAGGAAGAACCTCGTGGCTGAGCCGAGGGCTCTGCAGTGAGCTCTGCAGCTGCACAGCAGCTGATTGCTCCATGGTTGGGCATCCAGTGCAGACAGACAAGAGGGCAAGGACCATGGGCAGGCGTTAGCAGAGCTTGGGTTCATTGAAAGCCCCACCAGTCATTCAAATGGGGTAAAATACTCTCCAAAATAATTATGCCCTTTTTTTAAATCCCCCCTCTAGACCCCTCTGCTGCTTATTTGTTATATCTCCGTGACCTGAAGCTAGTGCCCTTATTTCAATGTAAAATTATATATATATATATATATTTACCATCTTTTTCCATGAGATGCAATGAGCTTCATCCATCTCTAGTCGAGCCTAGGTAAGAAGCAGCTGCAAGGAGCCACGGGCCCAAAAGCAAGTGCTGGTGACACACCGAGCTGCGTGGGGCTCAGCAATATCGCGGGACCTCTCAGCCAACAAATCCAAATATCACAGAACCATAGAAAACAGTGTTCAGGTCCTTATCATGGAATCATAGGATCCTTATGGTCGGAAGGGACCTTTCGAGACATATCCACTGGTGGAGGATGGATGGAGGCGCAAACTGGCCAGATCCAGGGCCTTCCTCTGGGATTCGGACCTTGCAAAGGAAAGAAAACCAACCAGGTTCCACGTCCTCCTCGGGCCGCTGCACGTGCGGCGTGAGTCACGCCGCGCTTATCGTGCCGTGGGGCTGCCGAGACGCCGCTCGGCGCGCAGCGGGCCTTGCCTTCAGCGTCTGCTGCCCGACGAGAACGCTTCGTTCTCACCACCTCGCTCGCCACGGCGCGCGTGAAATACCCGCCCTCCTTTTTTTAGTCTTTTGGGTTTTTAGTTCAGTTTTTTAGTTTAGTTTTTAAGGCGGCCGTCATACCTAACCTGCCTGCAAGACCTGCCGCATTAAGCTGGATGAAGCACCTACCCCGCTGGGCGCGGTTCTGCGGGGCTTAGTCCACGTCATGCTTTGGCTTTGGGTGTTATCCCCCTTGTGTCTGGTGGGTGAGAAGGGCCAAGGGGCTCTGCCGGGGGAGGCAACTTGTGCTGGCGATGGGGACGCGCTCCCGGCGCCCGTCCCCCCACCCACCGCCTGTCCCTCTGTGCTGTTGTCCCCTAGGACACTCGTYGGAGCCGAACCCCTCGCCGCCGGCGCGCGAGAGCCGAGCGTTTTCCCCGCTGCCCTTGGCCGGAGAGCCCCGCGAGGACAGCGCGCCCTCGGCCGCCGGCCACCCGCCGCCCCTGCCCCAGAAGAAGACGGTGAGCAGGGCCGTGTCCTCCCCGGACGGCTTCTGCTGGGGCCCGGCGGCACCGGCGCGGGCGGCCGGCGCGCGGCTCAACGCCAGCCACTCGGACAGCAACGTGTGCCTGCGCGAGGAGCCCGCCCTGGGCTACCCGGCGTGCCTGGGGGGGCCCCCCGGGGCCTTCTCCTCCTGCGAGTCCCTGGAGAGAGGCTCCAAGGAGAAGGGCTCCTGGGGCTCGGCCGCTAGCACGGGGAGCTGCGTGCCCAGCCGAAAGCCCGCGGCGCTTTCCTCCTCGCAGCTCAGCGTCTCCAGCCAGGCGTCGTCGGGCTCCAGCCTGCAGCTGCACAGCCTGCTCAGCAACATGGAGAGCAAGGAAGGGGTGTACGCCAAGCTGGGGCTCCTCTACGCCGAGTCCGTGCGGCGCCTGGCCGCCAAGTGCGAGGACGGCTTCATGCGGGAGCAGAAGGACGAGCTGCGCTTCAGCGAGAACAACTGGTCGCTCTTCAAGCTGACGTGCAACAAGCCCTGCTGCGACTCGGGCGACGCCGTGTACTACTGTGCCACCTGCTCCAAGGACCCCGCCACCACCTACGCCGTGAAGGTAAGTCCGCGGCTCTAACGGGCACGGCCTCCTCCCCATCTCCGGTTGAGGATGAGAGCCATAGGCTCCAAGCCACGCTGGGGGTCTGTAGGAAAGCTGGGATTGAGCCTCCAAGTCCTTCTCCCCAGCATGTGGATGGGACAGTAGGAAGCACCATGAGCGTAGGGTGCTTGTGCTTCTTGGTGCTTGTGCTTCTCATAACTGAAGATTGGCAGCTGAAACCCCTGCCAAAATTGCCATTCTCCCCCCACCCATTGCAGAAAATCCCTCGGGAGGAGCAGTTTGGACTAACAGTTCCAGCTGCAGAGCAGTAGGAACATCTGCTGCAGCCCAAGCATCTCCTCTCCAAATCTTTGCTCTCTAGAGAAATACTATATGRAAAACGCGGAGGCTTTCACCTCTGGCGACACAAGCTGATTAAAAGCTACGGCGAGGAACAGGCTGTTTCCTGCCTTTTAAGCGGAAGCTCTGGCCCAGAAACCACGCGGGCGCCTCTGATCTTGAGACTAGGCGCTTAAAGCCCCGGCAGGTCTCAGTACGAGAGTGCGGGGGCTGACGGAGAGGTGCTCCGCAAGGTCACGTCYGAAGGGTTTCCCCGCAAGTGAGCAAAACTCGAGTCCAAAACGGAGATTTTCCGTGCACAAAGTGCTCTCCCTCAAACCCGACTCTCTCCAGCATCCAATCGTGCGCATCCCGTGGACGTGGGGCGCAGAGCCTTCAGTTCCTGCCTTGATTCGGCCCCGGGGGCACCTCGTTCCTGCCGGCTCCGTGGGTTATTTTCCAAACCTCATACAACCTGCCAAGAAAGCACTGCCAGAGATGCGCTGAGCGGGGACAAAAGGCCCCGCTGAGCTGACTCCACCGGTGCAAAACCCCACGGGGATGTTTTAGCTAAGTGGTAACTTCAAAGCCGGTTGCTGCTGCGGGCACTAACTTCTTTTTGGACCGAAATCCACTCATCTGCAGTCTGCCCTAGCTCCCTGGAAATGCTCTTTCGGCCCCAAAAGCAGCCGGGGCGGGGGACACAGCAGAAGCCCCCCTGCCTCCGTGCTGCAAACGCGGGAGGGAGAAAGGGTTTTGCGCCCGATTCCGCACGCATGCCGGCCCCGTGCTCCGGGCTCTGAAACCTTTTTACGCTGAGCTGCGGCCCGGCCGCTGCTTCCTGCGGGGCACATGTAAACACGGCGCTGAATTCAAAAAAAGGGGGGGAAAAAGAAAAAAAAAGGCATATAATAGGAATGCCAGAAGGTCCGGGAGTTAATGGGTACCGCTATAATAAAGCTGGGCTTCATCAGTCCTTAATGGGGTCATAATGCTAAAAAACAGGGAAAAAAAAGAATAAATTCATGCCGCGTGGGCTTGAGAGAAACTAGACCGTAAATGATTTTTTCTTTTTTTTTTTTTCCTTCCCTGGAGTTTGCTGGATCTCACGTATTTCCGAGCTTGTTGCAAGCTCTCACTTTCTCCCCAGTGTTTTATTTTTTTCCCAGTGTGCCAATAGAGCAGACTTCGTGTCCGTGCTTTCCTTCGGAAGAGGAGAGTGGTTGCAAGGGGTGTGGAAGGGGTCTCCAGATGAGACAGGAGTCTAGGGATCCGCGGAGGACCCGGGTGGGAAGGGAGCTCCGCACATCCCCGTCCCCGCGTCGCTCCGGGCAGGACCACCCTGCTCACCTCCCTCGGGGTGTCTCCGTCGCTGACGGGCTCTGCTCAGCTTCTGCTCTCCCCTCTGCGCAGATCTGCAAAGCGGCGGCGGCGAAGGGGGCCGCCTCGTACTGCAGCCCCGCGGTGCCCGTGCACTTCAACATCCAGCAGGACTGTGGGCACTTTGTGGCCTCCGTGCCCTCCAGCATGCTGCTGGCCTCGGCTGGTGGAGCTGGTGGAGGCGCCGAGCACGACTGCGTGGTGGTCATCACGCGGGAGGTGCCCAGCCAGACCACCGCCGACTTCGTGAGGGACTCGGTGGCGCTGCACCAGGCCAAGCCCGAGCTCTACGAGCGCCGCGTCTGCTTCCTGCTCCTGCAGCTCTGCAACGGCCTGGAGCACCTCAAGGAGCACGGCGTCATCCACCGCGACCTGTGCCTGGAGAACCTCCTGCTGGTGCCCTGCAAGCCGCACGCGGGCTGCGCCAAAGCCAAAGATGACAAACACTTGCCCCGCCTCATCATCAGCAACTTCCTGAAAGCCAAGCAGAAGCCAGGAGCTGGAGACTCCAAGCTGAAGAAGAGCCAGGCCCGGCTGGCCCCGGAGATCGTGTCGGCCTCGCAGTACAAGAAGTTCGACGAGTTCCAGACGGGCATCCTCATCTACGAGCTGCTGCACCAGCCCAACCCCTTCGAGGAGAAGGTGCAGCTCCGGGAGCAGGAGTACAGCGCCGAGGACCTGCCACCGCTGCCCAGCCTCTCCATCTACTCGCGGGGGCTGCAGCAGCTCGCGCGCCTGCTCCTGGCTGCGGACCCCATCAAGCGCGCGCGCATCGCCGAGGCCAAGCGCATGCTGCAGTGCCTGCTCTGGGGGCCCCGCAAGGACCTCGCCGAGCAGCCGCCGCGGCGGCGCGACGAGGCACTGCGCAACTGGCTCGACGTGAAGCGCGCCCTGCTCATGATGAAGTTCGCCGAGCGCGCCACCGATGCCGAGCGCGCCGTCGAGCTGGAGGACTGGCTCTGCTGCCAGTACCTGGCGGCCGCCGAGCCCGCCGCCCTGGCGCGCACACTGCAGCTGCTGCAGCTGCTCTGACGGCGCCGCCGGCAGCGCCTGCAACCTCGCCCCGCTTGCAGGGCATAATTATTATTATTATTATTATTATTATTATATATTTGGGGGGGTAAGGTAAGTCTGCGGACTAATAAAGTCCTGCCTGTGTGTGCGTGCGTTTCTACTGAGCACCGCGTTCTGGAGGTGATTCCTGCACCCTGGAGGTGATTCCTGCGCCCGGGGCCGCCGCTTTGCTCCCCTTTGTCCCGGAGCAAGGTCCTGCCTGGCGTGGTGGGTAGCAGCGTGCCTGTTCCGCAGGGAACGGGAGCCSCGGTGCGGACGCTGCTCTGGCACGGCGGGAAGGTCAGGGCACTCTCGGGCGCTCACCCGCTGGCGGCGGGTGATGCGGCGCGCTGGGAATTACCCCTTGTAAAGTTAATGAGATGGAAAATCCCCGCTGTGCCTCCCGAGGCCCCGGGGAGAAGCCGGGGCCGGCGGCTCCGTGTTGCTGCTGCTTCCCTGTACCCGCGGCTCGTCCTGATGCTGCCGTGGGAGAGCTGGCCCCTTCCAGCCCAAGTGCACAACTCTTCTCCTGCAGCCTTGATGCCCCTCCAGAACCAGCGTGCTTTCCAGGAGGAATTTTCAAATTCCTCCCCTCTCCCCCCACTTTTTTTTTTTTTTTGTGTGAATCTTCTCCAGGCTCCTCACCTGGATCTTTATCTGTTGGGCTGCGATTGCTGCTGCTCCCGCCGGGAGCGAGCGCGGTGCCTTGGCCGGGCACCCATTTCGGATGGGTTTCCCCCCAATCCCCGAGGGAGGAAGCCTTGCACGTCGCTGCCTGCTAAAAAAATGCGGGCTGGCTCCAGCTGTGGTCGTCAGGGACTTCTTTTTCCTGTGCTGGCTTTTCCTGCATCTAGCTGCTGTGCCCGCTCCCCTCCGGTGGGGACATGAACCAGGAGCCTCCTGCTCCATGGACCATCCTGGACACGTTGCTGTCCAGCAAGGAGTGATTAAGGAGTGATGAAGCAGCTGGAAAACGTGCCTGAAAGGAGCCCAACGTGTTCGGCATTAGCGGGATGAAGAAATGGCTGGATTTGTTGGCCAGGATGTGGGGAGCAAGTTGGAGGCGGCTCTGCAGCGCAGCGCCCAAGGCTGCAGGGAGAGATGGGGCAATGGCAAGCGCAAGCTGACCACGGGGAGATGGTTTATTTGAGGAAAGARGCTTGCAGGGCTTGGGACTGAAGATGTGGCCAGACGTGCTGCTAGCCCACATAAAAAGCACGTGTTGAGATGCATTTTGTGTGCTAAGGTTCAGCCTAGTGAAAACCACCGGCCCTGATGCAGACACTGTGTCGGGGAGAGTTTAGCGCTTTCAGCTGTGTTGGGATGTGGTGGCTTTAGGTTCCTCCTTTCATATAAACGATCTCTGAGCTCCCTCTGTGGCCTCCCATGCCAGCAGCTGCTGCCTGAGCTTTGCAGACCCAGACTCGTCTATCTTGGTGGTATTACAGAGCGCGGAAGGGGCTGCTTCTGGTCTCCTGCTACCCCCCAGAGAGCCCCCTTCCCTGTGCTCCTGCCGGCCTTTGCCTGCACCCACCTCCCAGCCCCAGGGAAGTCAGGTCCCCAGGAGGCAGACACAGCTCTTGACTGACGCCCTGTGTACACATAAGAGTTTGGGGGCAGTGGGTGCCGCACGTTTTCTTACCCGGGGTGAGAATGAGACAACCACAAGGCGGTCGGTGCAGCCGGGAGCTCTTCTCTGCACCACTCCTGCCCTGCTCCAGAGCCACCCTGCCTCTCCTGCTCCCTCCCCGCCTGCAAAGCGCTGCAGAGCCCCCTTACCTCGTGTGCTCGCTGCTGGGGACACTGCCCAGCTGGCCGCACCAGGACGCGGTCAGGTCCGCGGCGCTTTCCCGGCGGGCAGCAGCAGCAACACGAGGCCGTAGGCGAGGGGCAGGACGCTGCTGGGGGACGCCCAGAGCCGGCGGAGCTCGCGGAAGCTCTCGGTCTCTACGGCCACCAGGACGTAGGAGATGATGAGCTGGGTGAAGAGCCAGGTTGCGCCGTAGCAGAGGAGCCTGGCTGCGCAGCAGGCGGCGCGGGCGCGGAGGAAGGYGTGCAGGCGGTAGTCGGCCTCCACCATGAGGGCCCAGCACAGGAAGCCGAAGAGCTGCCCGGGCTGCAGGCCGTGCCACCAGGCCGAGAAGGCGAAGGTGGCGAGCAGCGGCCGGGCCGGGCAGCGCTGGAAGACAAGCCTCCTCAGCCAGCGCGATGTGCTCCTGTTCCACGTGCGGGCGAACACCGCCACGCGGTTGGTGCTCTCCAGCGCCCACAGGTCGCTGCCCGCRACGTCCCCCTGGCCGGCCTCGGGCCCCAGGCCGGCGGCCTCCGCGAGGGCCTCGTCCAGCAGCCACTGCGAGTAGTAGGCCAGCCTGAAGAGCAGGGCTTGCGCCCACACGCTGAGCACGGAGCCGAGGCCAGCGCGGCCCTGCACGGCGGCCAGCGGACCCTGCAGTGCTGCACGCAACACGTGCAGGGCCAGCGCACAGAGGCATCTCCGGCCAGCAGCCCCTAGCCGGTGGTGGGAGGCGAGCGGGAATTCCACCTGGGCCTGGAACCTCCGGAAGGAGCACAGGGGGCCTCCTAGGAGGGCTGGGAAYGAGAGCAAGTAGCTGCAGAGAGGCAGCGCTCGCTGCAAAACACCCTGGCCGGGCGCAAGGGTCACGGTGCCTTCATGGACATCCAGGGCCACCGAGGTGACTTTCTGGGTCAGCAGCATGATGGCAGAGAGGACAACAGCCGGCCTGGAAGGAAAACAGCCAGGAGCTGCAAGCTTGCCAGGCTCGGGGGCTCTCCATCCCGCCGGAAAACCCGGGAGGGCTCCAAGCTCTCCGAGGGGAGCGGGAGAAAGGACGGACATACCTGGTATCCTGCGGGTCCGGCACCTGGCTCCGCAGGCCCAGGTGGCAGAGCGTCTGCCAGGACATCTGGAGGCCGAAGGCCCAGCTGTGGACACGCGCTGGGCTGGCCAGGAGGAGGAGGAGCACAGAGGCGGCCGTGGGGATGAAGAGCAGCGCCGCGTAGCCGCCCGTGGACACGGTGGCCAGGAGGCATCCTCCAGCGAGCAGGGAGACGTACCTGGAATGTGAGGGATGCCCTTTGGCTGCCTCCTAGGAGAAATGGGGCTCGAAAGTCCTGCTCCYCCCGGCCTCCCTGGTGCCCCAGTGGTTCATCTCTTGGCCCATCCATTGGGCCAAGAGGCCACTGGGGCTGTTGTGGCTACAGCTCCCGTTCTCTGCCTTGTTCCCTTGCCCACGGCAACACCCRCCCTGACAGCACAGGAAGAGCAGACAAGGCTGTTTCGGGGTCCCAAACTGGCCGCACTGGTCAGTTTGGGACCCCAGACTGGTCCCGGGCTGCGCGTATCTTGCTGCACCTCTGTGCAGGACCCCCTGAAAGCCACGAGCGATGAGCTCCACCACGTGGGCGATGACCACGGCAGCTGGAGATGAGCCCGTACCGCGCAGCTGGAGAGCAGCGCCGCGGCGCGCAGAGCCGGTGCAGGAGGGCGGCGAAGGGCAGAGCCGCCAGCTGGTAGGAGGCYACGGTGCCAAGGACCAGCAGCTCTGCCCAGCGCATGGAGCCGCTCGCTTCTCTGACGTCCCAAGGCCGGGCGAAAGGACCGCGCCGCCTCCTCTTTATACACAGCAGGGCCGCCCCACCAACGCCCCGTAACAGCAGAGCGGGGCCAAGGAAACGGAGGCATCCGCAGCGAGGGCAGCAGGGTGTTTGCGTTGGCCCCACGGGGCTCCTCCGTCGCCAGGGTTTATGTGGAAAAAACGTTTAGGCTCGCTATTTGCTTGAGCCACTGCCCTGGGGAGCGCGCGACGCAACCAAGATAAGAGCCCCTGTGCATTGCCAGGTGCATCCGGGGTGGCAGGGATACAGATTTCCCCTTCCAGAGACGAATGCCTCGGAATAATTGGTTGTATGATCATCAAAAAAAGGAATCTCAATTCTAAAAATTACATGAAGGCTGACATTTCTGCACGTTTCTACTCTTCAGCAGCTTGGTAAAGCCTAGGAAAGGTTTTTTTTTTTCTTTCCATGAGATTAAGCGACTCTGCGGAGCAGTGGGAATTCCAACATTTGAGCATTTAAATTTTCATTTAATGCCAAGCACCCCCCAAGACTATCTCAAATTTGCAAGAAAATTGCTCCACCTAGAGAGCAAAGGATTGAACTGTGCAAATTCTGCATTTAAAAGGGGAAGACGAGCCGAGTTTCTGAATTGCTCTGCTGCTTTGGCCGTCCCTGGGTTCACATATTGCCTCTGGASATGGTCAGTACAGAGCAAGCTTAGGTTGCAAGATGTCGGTTACCCCTTGGACTTYTGAATCCCTTGGGGTTTTTCCAAGGCTGATGGCATCTATGGGAACAAAACCCCACGGAAACACAACAAGAAAGACTTGCCGCCGAGAAGCTGGCTCTTTGTTTGTGCAAGGTCTATATTAAGAGCAGGCCACAGGGTGTTTGCAGTGACTACGGACAGCACTATAGAGAAGCTTCTTGCATGCCATTTTGAGCACGCGTGGCATGCAGCAGTGCCCTGGTTTCCATCCATCCTGCCATGATGACCCATGGGGGCCATCATTGACTTTGCCCAGCAAATCAAATATTTTTCAAGCCCTTTGCGGTGCCTGTTTGAGCCATTCACTGCCATGGTGCCACAAAAATCCCCTTGCTTTTAGGGAAGCAGAAAGGATTTTCCCTGGCAGCGTGTGCTGGAAACTTGACACACTGCATGGTCCTCTCCTTTTATACCATTAGATAGGGGAGCAGGAGAGAGAGTTTTAGCTGCTTCATTTCTACGTACCACCAAATCTTCTTTTCTGAAGGATGAATTGCTTGGCAATACAGCAGGTGAGAAGAGCAGGATGCTCACTGTCAAGGCAAACGGCACGTATGGACTTGGAACAGATGCCACTTGGAGGACCAGTATCTTGATGCTTTATGGTTGCTCTCTTGGAGGAATATTGTACCATTCTGGGAACATTTTTGCTTAAATAGGAACAAAGCCCATTAAAGTAGGAAACTTTCTCCGTGGCTTTGGAAGGTTGGTTGATCTGGAGTTTCCTCTCTGCCAACAGGGATGGTATCGAGTGCCTCCTTGTGATACTAGAAGGTAAAGTCCATCAGAAACCTTGGAACTACTTGGGGTTGCTACCTTTGGTGGGTGGTCCTTTTCCCACCTGGGTTAAAGTCTGGTTAAAGCCTCTCCATAGGGTCCCTGGAGATCTYGTGGAGGTCTGAGAAGGCCATATGTTAAGGAAGCTTTGAGGCAGGTCCCAATGGCTAATGAGTCCCATCGTCTGGTTCTAGACTTCCATGGTTGTCAGAGGAACATCAACAGGGACTGTTGGACAAGCTAGGGGAATGACATATAATTCAAAAGCTTGGCTTTGTTTCGGGTAAAGCCCACATGTCTGGCCTCACTGAACAACCTGTCTCACTGAACAAACAGCTTGGCCTTGATGCTGAGCTGGACTCGGCTGTTGAACAGTAGCCTCAGATCTACTGCAAGTTCCTGCAGAACTTTTGGTGCCTCAGTTTGTGGCCGTTTCCTCTAGTCCTCTCAGTGGCCACCACTGAAAAGAGGCCGGACCCCTCCTCCTCACTGCCTCCCTTGAGGTATTTATACACGCTGATCAGGTCCCCCCTCAGCCTCCTCTTCTCCAGGCTGAACAG